TCTAAACTTCTGCATGATCCCTCTCTGTCAGTGCCATCAATGTTTGTTATCAAAAGCTAGCCGTATTTAGTACCAGGTTCTTAAGAAGAAAAATTCAAAGCTGAGCAGATAAGCAAACCCTGCATGAGCGCAAATGCTTCAAGAAACTTTATAGAGAAGCTAAACTGTAGACATATCTCTATGGTTTCTTAAAAGAAATTCTCAGAGAGGCCTAATTTTAGACTTTACATTTCTGTGAACCACATAAATGTTGTCTGTAGAAAGTCTCTTTTCAAAATTGATATTATTTTTTACTGATTATGCTTTCTAAAGAAAAAATACAAAAAACTGAACATGACTAACGAAAATGAAATAAGAAAACTTATCAAAATATTCTTCTTCCTCATTTACTCAAATTTTTTCCAGGTCTTACGGTAGCTACCGTCTAAATATAACGTTTAGCGAAAACATGAAAAATGTTGAACAGCGTTTTCAAGCACTTGAGGAAGAAACGAGGAAATTTAAACCACTTTTGGAGAGCCTAGATGTAATAGAGCCGAAAAATGTTGTCAGTAGTGTTCAAGAAATCGCACTCAGAGACCTTGCATTTGTGACGGCTGCAACTCGAGATCATTTCGACGAAGCCTACAGGTGCATTTTTCAAACAAACTATGCTACTTCATGAGGTTGGAGAAAAAATAACTTTTTAGCCAGCTGCAGAAACCAGAAAAAATTTCCTGGAAATTAGAGATGAGGTTCAAGAATGCACACCATTCTTCGTGGTGCATTATACTTGATAATTCTTGAAGAAAACAAAATTAAGGAGAAAATTGATAAAGTTTCACTGCAAGATAACAAGAATAGAACTGGAAAATGTTGAAATTTGGATTTTACTGTAATTTAAAAAGAAAGTGCACGCGTCTCTGTGCTGCTACCTCTAAGCTTTCAGAAACGTGATCAAATTAAACAGTATTTTATTAGGTTGTGAATAAATTCTCTATTGTGCACTGAACTCTTGCCTGCATGAAAAACTGCACTGTTCCAGGTTTCAGGTGCTGTGTAGCTTTCTACTTTCTCGGCTTTGTTATGTGATAGCCACGGTCCTGAGCAATAAGCATTGTAGTTCCCAGAAACAGTCGTGAGGTAGCCAAGAAAAAGGTTTAACAGAAAACCTTTCAGGAAAACTTTGTGCCTACTTGTTCCGTTATTCGCATTACTCTAGAGAGAAAAAAGAAATTTCCTGGATTTGTCATGCTAGTCATCTAGCTTAACTTCTAAATCTAACTTAACCGCAACTCAAGATTATTTTGATGAAACCTACAGGTGCATTTCTTAAACAAACTGTGGTACTTCATAAGGCTAAAAAAAAACAACTTTTTAGCTAACTTTTTTTTTTCAAGTTCTTTCTTTAAGACAATTGTCGTTTAGATTCTCCATTATAAATGAAGGTCACTCTAAAAAGATTCCCTGAAGTGACGAGCTTGAGTAAGACCAGCTTCATTTGATACAAAACAAACATTCTCCAGCAGTGATAAAGAGTAAAGGCTAGAACATAACTGGAAGGAGACTATTCATTTGAGCGTTTTTAGGGTTCTCTGCTCCACGATGATGAACTACAGAGGTTTGTTACATGGAAATCAGACGAAACTATATTTTTATATATTGGGACATGCTCTATCTCCAAGAAAAAGAAATTTTCTAACTAAGCGCTGTCCTCTCGCTGTTCTTCGATCGTTTCCCTACGACATCTTCCCGCAACACGTTCAAATTTCAAGAACCTATGCGTAAGATTTTTGAGAGTTCTGACTCACTTAAAAAGGTTTCTGGTTCTTTTAAAACGATTTTTCTCAAAGCTACAAGAGCTGAAATAATGGAGCGAATTGAGGTTGCTAATGACAATCAGGATAAGCTTTTGAGGCAAGAATACTTTGCAGCTTTAAGTCGCTAGTGATAGCAATGATGCTGAAGGATTTTAAAGCAGTGTACTGGATGGATACTTCTACGTGCTTCTGTAATGAAAATTATGGGCTAACTATGGAGGTGGTTATCTTTTGTAAACGCAACTTAAATTTAGGATGTCAGTGCTCCTTTCGTTCGTATTAGAAAAGTTTTTA